TAGATAAGAAAACCACTAGACGAGCAATGCAAAGGAAAAAGCCCTTGAAGCAATCAGAGCAAGAGCTCCATAGTCATGCTTAAACAGATGCCCAAAGTTTAATCGTAGCTACAAAACGGTGTGGCCTTTAGTATGGTTGCGGACCCCTTTCGTTGTATAGAAGTTGTTTGACTTTCTTTCAGTAACTTGATCATGCTGAAAGTAGGACCTAGATGAACGCACCTTGTCCAGAATCCGTAGAATGCATGATAGTTTCCATAGTCGGACCGTAGATTTCGACTTATGGGAACATAACAAGCCCATGGTCCGTCTCTGGAAATTATCATGCATACTATGAACTCCGGACAAGAAACGTTCCTCTAAATTTACTTGCCAATATGACCAAGTTGCGAAGGCAAGTTCAAACAACTTCTAGATCAAATAAGACCTACTTTTATGGATGAGGATGGAGCTAGACTATACTTTGGAAAAATTGAAGAGTAAATGATAGAAGTGCAAAAAATATAAACAAGTATCTTGATTAAAGACTACCAAATATTCTACTGTACTTAAAAGACTTATAAGGAAATGTAAAAGAAGAAAGGCAATAATAGTCACATTTCGTCATCATTTCTTGCAAAGCTTCAGCTGGTCGCTTGTCTAAAGGATGCGTACTCAAGTTCGATGGAGAGGCAAAGAACTATGGCTGCTCTATTTGTGTCCGGCGGAATTTACCTCGGGACACCGAACACTTTTGGCTTGCCTCTTCCTCCATTTCAACCACAACTTAAGAATATGCTCTTCAACTCGGCTCTGACGACAGTTGACTACGAGGCAACAAAAAAGTGTCGGAGTGAGCAAAAATTAGCAGCTAGTCCTTGGCCTAGTATGAGTATGCTAGTAATATGCTATGTAACATGGATCTCGCTGATGAGCACTTAGTGGCGAGAGTATTATAAATATGACTACTCAAATACAGCATGATGATGTATGCTATTTGCACTTTATTCCCAGTAAAAATGGCATTTTGCCCACCACTGGGCATATCTTCCAAATAAATTAACTATGCTCACTGATGAAGCTTTCAGGATAACACATGTCCCATAAGTTAATCTTACTTAAATACGAAGCCCGTGCACACCTTCTGGCTTACTGATAGAATTCTGCTGCAGATCTAGAAAATTAGATTATACAATTAAATGAATACAAGGCCCCGAACAATTTGATATGCGGTAGTCTGGAAGAAAGACACTGAACGTATGACCTAAGTACGGACGATAACGTTCTGTAATTTCTATCAGATGAATGACAAGCAGTTTTGATTCCATTTCAGACACTTTTGGTTTCCTGTGAGCCCAATTCAAGAATCAT